GCCAATTGTATGCTCTCCTGTAGTAGTTCATTGAACCACAATACTGATAAGTGATTAATAAAAGTCAAAAGACCAAAAAGGTCACCTTAATACCAAAAAAAACAAAAAAACAAAAGGTATAATAATTTAGTATAATAAATAAGCTGTTAATTTTTATATAATATTTAATATTTAATTTTATTTATAATGAAATTTAAAATTTATATGGTGTTAGAAGTTTATACTTAACAATTATATAAGATGTTTTGATTTTTTAAATAATAATAATTTTTTATTAAAAAGTTTTAAAAAATCTAATTAATAATTTTATAAAGCTACATTAGTTCTATATATATGTCAAATATTTTTTCAAAATCTTATTATTATAAAGAGTTAATATTTTTTGAAAATTGAAATTTTATATATAAATTTATAAATTTATATATAAAATTTCAATTTTCAAAAAATATTAACTCTTTATAATAATAAGATTTTGAAAAAATATTTGACATATATATAGAACTAATGTAGCTTTATAAAATTATTAATTAGATTTTTTAAAACCTCTTAATAAAAAGTTATTACTATTTAAAAAATCAAAACATCTTGTATAATTGTTAAGTATAGACTTTTAGTATCATATATATGTTATAGTAGATTGTCTTTTTATAATTAATTAGATTAGTATAAATATATTTTTCTTTAATATTAAGATAAATACTTGTAACTTAGGATTTTATTAATAATATGTTTTAGTTAATAATTGTTTTTACAATAACTATAGAAAGAATTATAAAAAAAATATATAACTAGTTATTTGTATAACTTTAGTTATTATCTAATTTAAGTAATTCATTTAGAGATTTTACACTAACTGCTATATCTAAAACTTACTTGTAAGTTCTTTATTTAAGCACTCTAGTTTTTGTATCTATGATCTATCTATTTTATTATTTGTTTTAGTTGATATTAATACAAATAAGTCATAATTATAAAGTCTTTAAAGCAGTTTATTTATATAAAAAACTTTTAACTTTGTACTAAACCTACTGAAACCTTTGTATTTTATACTTACAGTTAACTCAATATTACTATAACTAAGACTAATACTTGCAGTCAAAACTAACTATTAAACTATTATATCCTTTTATCTAAACTTTAATACCTATTTTTTGGATATTTTTATTGTTATCTTTTACTAACTACTAATAAAGTATTAACATAGGTTAAAAATAAATAAATAAATAAATTTTAAATTATCAAAAGTTAATTATAGAATTTTAAAATTATTATAAAAAAAATAAAATTTTAATTAATATAACTAAATCTAATCAATAAAATTAAAAAAAATTATTATACAGCTTATTTTATTAGTTTTTTTCAATAAGGTTAATTATATAAAAACTCATTTAATTTTGTTAATTAGATTATTGGTTTTATTCGTTAAAGTTTTATTTGTTTTAGAACTAAGACCTTGTAATTAGATTTGATAATTTTAGACTTATTAAAATTATCTTAGTAAGAAAATTATTTTGATATAAAATTAATTAAAATAGGCTAATAGATGAAAAAGTTATTACTAATTATATCCTGATTTTTTTATTAAAACTTGTTAAAAATTAATTTATTAAAATATAAAAGACCACTTAATAAAAATTGATTTTATGTATCAAAAATTTTTTTTAAAATTTGACTAGTGATGTTATTCTAGTATAACAAAAACAAAGCTAATCAACAATGGTTGACTATATAATGAATCGATTTTCTAAAGGGTTTGCTTTTCTGTAAATCATGTATTAAGCACTTATATTTGGATTTCGAAAGAAACTTAATCGAAAGCTTATTACGATTCGAATTTTATTTTGGATGTTGACCTTCCATTTTATAATTATTTTACATATTCAATATAATAATTAGACTTATTGTAACTTCAATGTATTTGCTTAGTCGCCAAATCCCTTTTAAATTCTTAATTCGAAAATAAAAACAACAAAGTTTTAATAATTTATAGCATTGATTTAACAAATTTGATTGGTTTTGAATTTATACTATTAACTGAAAATTGGCATATATTTAGGTTTTGGTTATTATTCCAAATGAAGTAGAAATTCCGATTTTTAACTATGTAGTAGTGTCATAATTCAAAAAATGGTTTGGATCGCGTCCCTACTTTTGACATAGCGTGATGTAAATATTCACGTACTACTATCGCTTGCTTTATAAGTCTTTCAAGTGCAGATTCGTTCATTTGGCTATCAATAGCTAAGAAAAATGTATTATAGTTACCAAAATCAATAGTAAATCAACACCACATTCAAATGATAAATAAAGGTCTATGAATTGGACCATTATATTACATACAGAGTATAGCACTGTTGATTTCGTCAGCCAACTTATCACGATGTTCCTGAGACAATAATGGAGCAGAAGGTGAAGATTCCGGATTCTCATATGCAATTAACGGGCTCACTTTCTCAAATTCATCACGATACTTTTGCTCATTTTCACCTCCAAGCGATGGATACTCAGCCAATACAGATCGAGCAAATGTTAAAGCCTCGTCGAAATTTCCAGAGCGCACGGTCTCTATAAATTGCTGTAATTGGAGTTTGAAGCACATTTCGGTAGAACGTGGAGTTGTTAGATGATTACCTTCTTCGGTGGATACCACTTCCGGAAATGTAGTTCGGCATAACGATAAAGCGGAGGCAATATCACCAGATATTATAAACTCGCGTATCTCTATAACAAATTGGAACTATATAACAGTTGTATGTATAAAAGCTTTAGTTGATAATGAAGGCTCGAAACAATATACTTACGTTTTCGAATTTCCAAACTTTCTAAAGCAGATTTAGAGCAAAGCTTAATATTGGAAAGTCGTTTGTTTTTCAATGCAGGTAAGAACTTTGAAGTTTTAGACATGGTAAATAAAGAATTGTCTGTAGAATTAACATGAACAAAATCTTCATTTGAATCAATCATTTCAAGATCTCCGTCAGCGTCGGTTTCACCCGTATCCATTGGAACAGTATCATTTGAACCGTTTTGAGAGAAACCATTGGTAAAAAGGATTTCTTTTTTGGACGTTATATTTAAGTCCTGGCTGTCTTTTAAGAAAATCCTGGCAGTTTCACCATAACAATTATGAATTAAGTAGTCAAGAACTAGTTGACGAACAATACGGTCGTCCGGTTCTTCCAAGTTCTGAAAAGAGTCTGAACAAGGATCCATTGTAAAAATTTAACTTCAACTCGAATAAAAAAGTGTGAGAATTTTTGGTATAAATTAACATATTTAAACATCGCTTCGATACATTCACCAATGTATGGTCGCGTGATTCTATGTATCAAGTATTTATAACCGATAACGATAAACTATCGCTATGTGCACATTCATGTGACTCAAGTATTAACCATATGTATGCGATAATGGGATTAACATAATTTCATAGAAATGGCATCATTATTCTGTTAGTGCACCTAAAAATAGTTTAATTGGCCAAAATAATAACGATGACCAAGCATAGTAACTTACACCTCGTGACTTGCCTTTCCAAGTAATTGCATATTAGAAAAGGCCAATATAAACATTTTACGTACGTAAACAAGAACTTCAAATCGATTAACAACATACAGTGATCTGCCTTGTTTATCCTAATAAAAGTTTTAAGAACAAATTGATTTATTATTTTCCTATTATTTGAATTTATTTAAAATTTACCAGTGATGAATTTTCACCAGTGATTGTCCATGCATAATTGAAATCAAAATGATCTTTATAAACTAAGAATAAAATCTATTTATTATTAAAGTTAGATTAAAGGCTAGGTTAGAATTAGGGCGTAATTCATAGTAAAATTTTGCAAGGAAATTTTTTATTAGAACATCAAAGGTGGCTTCATATATAAAACTTTGTGTTATTATGTAGCAATTTTTGTTTTACACAAAATTGGGGGAACGTTAAAGCCAGGGTGATGCCGTTAGGGTTAGCGAATACAATTTATATAGTATGTAGATCATTGAATGTACCTGGCTTACATGTTACACTGGTAATTCAATTCTGATTGGCTGGTGAAATTTATCACTGGCACTTATTCGTTTTTTTTGCATCGTGCACCTTGTATTTCAAAATTTTATTATGATAACCTTTGATATATAACTAATAAAAATATTTGTTACACAAGTTTAAACATAATCCAACTAAAACTTTAACCCTAATTAGTACAGCGCAAAATCAAATCAAATTTTGAATTTGAATCAAATATCTAACAAATTTTAATTAAGGGTAAGGTGTACGTAGATCATTTTTCATATAGATGGCATAATAGATTTTTACATAGTAAATTTAAATGTATTACTAATAAAACTTTTTATTTTTTAATTAATTTTTATCAAAATTCCAAACAAATAAAATAATTAAACAGGTTATAAAACAATTACAAATGCAATAAAAACAGCACAACACATATTAACATAGAACAAAATAAAGCACAAAAGAGAAACAACACTTACAACAAACAAAACATTAAAGCAACAAGCTTTTGGACTGACTTGCAATTTTATATTCAAAATAATACAAAAGCTTAAAGTACAAGGATATAATATTAGAAGCAAAATTAGTAATAATAGCAGAAATACAAACATAAAAGAAACTAAAACAGATATAGTATACTCTATTATAAAAGCAAAGAACTTTGTACTAACTTAGTTTATCTATATAAAAAAACAAAGAGTAGTAAAACTAATATACTTTTAATAAAAACAAAGATGTTATTATTATCTAATAATAACAATAAAACAAAATTAGTCCAAACAGATTTTAACAATAACATAACAAAAATAAAAAGTAATAACAACAATTAACATACTACAAACAATAATAATAATTTTAGTATAATCACATAAGCAAGTAGCAGCATTAGGATTTGAGATATGAATAAAAAATTCAATATAAGTTTAAAAATATATTTAGAGTCAAGCATGCTCCTGTACCTTATAGCATACTTTTAGTCTAAAAAATTACTATTCATAACTTTTTAACAATTTACTTATTTTTTGTATTAGGTAACTATTTATATTTTTAATTATATTTAATAATATTAGCTAATAAATATATTAAATATATTATATAAGAGGGTGTGGTGACCTAGTGAAATGATCAGGTTGTCAACCCCCTAAGTGGTAGGTTGGGTGTTCAAATCCTATCAACAGCGAAAATTTGGATAATCACCTATGTAATATTCGTATTATGGCAACTGTTACTAATGATTGGATTAGGATACCTGTAATGACAGTCGCACTAGCATGACTGACAGGTTATAGGGCATCTGTGCAATGTTTGAGTTACACAGAGAAATGCAAACTGACATATCAGATAGTGCAAACACTAGATAAGTTCTCATGGCCATGTAAATTTGTTGAAATTAGGTAACAAAAAGTTCATTTGAAAAGACCTGAGTAGAGAGGTAGCTGGATCTTTAACAGCTCTACTGAAAAGGCTAGCCTGGCAAAATGGATACTCAGGTCTAGTACCTAGTTCTAGTAACAGATGGGCAAGAACCTCCAGGTTGGGAGTCTCGGAGGTACCACCAACCAGGCTGCTAGAACAAACTAGAGGAAAAGGATATCAGGCTGACCTGATATACCGATAGACTGGTCGTAGTCCTACACAAGCTATTTGGATTGGAAGTTTGGTAAAAGAATAGGGAAAAAAGCAGTGGTATACTAAAGTACTAGGATTATGCTGTGAAGTAGATGCTGGGATCTAAGTGAACTCTACAAGGGCATAGCAGTTTAATGGTTAGTCCTAACCACAAGTATTAGTTCTACTATAGCAATACCTAAGTTAGCTGTAAAAATAGGTACAGAAGGCTCTGAGAGGTTTACCTCAAGGATAAATTAGTTCTAAGATTGAGGACAATGATCTGGTACATCTGAGATGACTAGTAATGTTAATACAGGTTACAGGTTCAGAGGGTTTAAAGTAAAACACCCAAGCAGAGATGTTAGATATGACAATTGGTAGGGAACCTTCAGGTGAACTCCTTAAATAGGTAATATAGAAAAGTTACATGTATAACCAATTGTATGTTCTCTTGTAATAGTTCATTGAACCACAATACTGATAAATGATTAATAAAAGTCAAAAGACCAAAGAGGTCATCTTAATACTAAAAAAAAAATATATATATTATATAATCTAAATATAATATGTTTTGAATATTTACTAATTTAAGTAATTAAGAATTATTACTTTTTACAAATGTATATGTTTTTATTACAAATATTATGCTACACTTTTAAATTAATATTATATTTTATTCTTTTTTTTTTTTTTTAACTATCCCAGGTAAAGCACCATGGGGCGTGTGTGGCACTCTTTATTATTAAATATATTTACAGAATTATTATTTACACATTAGGGGTTCTAGACTAAATATTTATAGATTCTCTTATAAATTGGTTTGACTAAGGTTTTGGTCTGAAATAAACCAATTTCTCTAGAGATTCTGTTTCTTGCTATAGCAGCAATTGCTGACTCTGGATATCATAATTCATCCCACTTATATGCTGCATAACAGTACCAGATTTCATAAATAGCTTGTGTATATAACCACAAGATCGTGTTATATGTTTTGGCCTTTTCTAAAATTTCTTTTAAGAAAATTTTATCTATTGAATCTGGGATAACTTCTGTTTGGCTGGTTTTCAAAAATTTGTAGGCTTCTGTTCAGATCATCTTGCTAATTCTGCATTCTACTATCAGGTGTTCAATAGTTTGTATAGTGTCTGAACATCATGGGCATTCACCTGAGTCAGTTGGTATGAAGTGATGAAGTCTGTATCCTAGAGGTAAGGCTTTATGGAAAAAACATCAGAGTATGTCCTTCTTTTTATTTAGAATTGCTTTTTGAAGAATTCAGTTACAGTCTTGAGATTGTGTTGTAGTATTAGTTTAGTTTGTTGAGTTGGTTTCATGTTTTCTTAAAAGTTCAACTGTAAGTTTAACTGTTACTTCTGATAATTTTTTTTTATTGATTTCTAGGTCAATAGGATTCTATGGCCAGTCAAAATCTGAAAAAATCTTTTTATTAACTTTTTTCTATGCTAGCAAATAGGTTTTCTATTCTGTATGTCAGGCTTTTGACTTAATAGACTGTATAGAAAGAGTCTCTTTTGCTATAATATTTCTTTTTTGGCTGAGTAAAAGAGTTATTCGTTTTCTTTCTATTTTGGCCCATAGTAGGTCACTTAAGATTAGTTTAGTCCAGACTGAAATTAGCCTAGCTTCTAATATATTGCCAATTATTTGTGCTTGTAGTCCTTCTAGTTTGTAGAACTGTTGAAAAATAGAATATCTTAATAACATTTTAGAGTTGCCTTTGATCCAAAATGTGATAATTCTGTTAATTTCTGCTATTTGTTTTTTGTTTGGTGGCATGAGGTAGGCAACATACCAAATTTTAGAAAGCAGCAATGAGTTTGCTAACATTATTTTTTCTTTTAGTGATAGGTTTCTGCCAGCCAATTTATCCAAGCTTGTTTTAAGTTTGTTTGTTGCTTCTTGCTATAGGTTTTTTTTAGATGTACCTTCTGATGTAATGCTATAGCCTAGCACTTTAACATACTTCTGCTTTTCTAGTTTTCAAAATTGAGTTTCTTTTGGGAGTTCTATGCTTCTTGCCAGATTAGTAAGTGGCATTAAATTTGTTTTAAGCTTATTGATTTTTGCGTTAGAGGCTTTTTCATATTTATCGAATAGATCTAACAATGTAGTCCAGTCTGTAGGTGAACTAATGCCGACCGTTAAGTTATCTGCATATGTTGCACATTTGAAGGACTGGTTGTCGATTTTGATTCCAGTTATTTTGTTGTCTATTAAGTTTAGTAATAGTTCAAATGTAAGAACATATAGCAGAGGCAAGGAAGGATATTCTTGTCTAACTTCTCTTTTTACTCTGAAGAGGGCTTGAGATGTTTTCTAAGTTCAAGATATGAGCTTCTTGTTAAGTAAATAGGTTCTTTATCAGATTTCTGAATCTTTCATTGAAGTTCATTTTTTTTAGTACTATTTGCAAAAATTTATAACTTATTCTGTCAAAAGCTTTTTGTTGATCTACAAAAAGCATCCAATATTCTTTAAGATCATCACTTTGGTTTCTTAGAGTTGTAAGAATGTCTATTGCTGAGTCTGTAATTAATCTTTTTGCAATGAAACCTTGTTGATGTTGG